CTTGATAACAGCTGCCACACGACGAGGTATAGACTCAACAAGTTTCTGGAAATGTTCCATGGGAATAGCTTGCCAAATATTGGCTAGAGCTGTCCACAATTCAGTAAGGATCGTTGGTGCTGTGTGATGGCCTTTCATGCCTTGTTCCAAAACATTTCAAAGATGCTCAATAGGATTTAAATCTGGTCTTCTAGGTAGCCAATTTATGACAGAAAAGTCAGAAGAATGCTCATCTAACCAGCCAGTTGCCAACCGGGATTTGTGAGAGGTACAGTTGTCTTGCTGGAAAACTCCATTACCGTGCAGATAACAGAACAGCATAAACGGATGGAGGTGAACACCCAATAACTCTACGTACCAAATTGCATTGAGGAAGGTTGGTACACGTACCAAAGATCCCAAACAGTGCCACAAAAAAAAAAAAAAAAAAAAAAAAAAAAAAAACATTCTAGACCAGTGTTTCCCAACCTTTTTTGTGCTATGCCCCACCTAATCCTCTCTAAAATTTTTAAGCTCCCCCTAGCATATACATAATTATTAATATTTAAAAATTGAAATGTTCATGAAAGAAACTTCATGAAAAAATATGAATGATAGCTTTTAGGAAGAAATGACTATGAAATGTTTCTGAGCAAACACAGGTAAGTGAACTTTAAAAACATGGAAGAACTGAAATTAAAAAACAAAAAAAAAACTCAATTTTAGTGAAAGTTTTTTTAATGTTATTTTAAGTATTAGTTAAGTTTTTATTATTTAAATTTAGCGAGTTTCCTTGCGCTTGATACTTGCTGCAAAGAAATTTTATGTCAGGTTCCAATTTAGATAACTTGAGGTCTCAAGTTTCGACCGGTTTCATTATATCCAACCGATTTCTTTCTTTTTTTTTTAAAGCAGCAAATCATTTATGGCACTAAATCTGCATTCAACAAAATATGAAGATGGAAACGGTAACGAATAGTTCTCTTTGCAAATTTTGTTGAAATCATTTGGATATCTGATTCTGGTTTCCTCACAAAGCTATGTCATCGCTCCTTTTATATTAAATAAAATTTTAATTCACTCATCATTTTGCATTTCTGTGAAGTTCTTCTTTTTACTGCATATTTGAAATAACAATCCAAATCCACTAACATTGGCTGCACATCATCCAAGTTGGGAAATCAATTTGTTTTAAGTTACAAAATCTTTTAAATCAGCCGATAAAATTTTCAGATGATCGACAATAACAAGTATAGCAGTAAGTCACATCACATGTTTGGAGCCAATGAGACTTTTCAAAATTTTAGTGGTAGTAAATAGTATATGCCTGACATAATTCAACAAAGATAATGAAACCAAATATCTTCCTTTTGCATCGACATAAGTTTTATTTGCTCTTTGAAGTTGTTTATTTAATATATTTAATTTTTCAAAGATATCGGCTAAATAACCCACAATTGCCTTGTTATCATCCGTTAACGGATTTTTCATCTCAGGTTTGTCGCTTATAAAATAACTAAGAGTATCAAATAGTTCCATAAATCCTTCCAAGCAGTTCCTTTTCGACAGCCTTACTTCAGTGTGAAGTACAAGTCTCGTATAGTCTTCATTTTGTTCTTCATAAAATAACTTGAAAAGACGTTCACATTTGGCCCTAGCTTTAATAGCATTGATACACTTTATAACTGAATTTAGTACTTCATTTAAAACAGGCGAATTGTTTTTAGCTACCAGGTTTTTCTCTATGAATATCACAATGCACAAGAAACATTTCTGGATTCTCATCTTTTATCAATTTTAAGCAACCCTTTTTCTTATTCCCTGCTTTATTTTATTTTTAGGAGCACCATCTTCAGTACAAGATGTATTATATTTTTTATTGGTATATTTTTTATATGTAAGTAATTTTGTAGCTTACTATAAAATCTTTGGAGGTAGTGATGCTTTCTAATGATTTACAGAAGAACATTTCTTCGGCAAAATCTCCTTTATGAATATATCTTACATAAGTTACAAGTACGGCCTCACTGTCTTCATCCATTTGCACCGAAAAATTTTTTTTCAGCTTTTCAACAAATTGTATTTCAATATCCTCATTTAATCTTTTTTCTGAGTATTGTTATTTAGTGACATAGCTTTAACGTCACTGTCATCTTTTTCTAGAGCAGTTTTAAATGCTGATATTGATGGTTTGATTCAATTCTCCCCTATAGTACGGCTTTTCCCAGATTAAGCGACGAGTAATGAAATTTGATAAATAGCCTCAAGAGCACGATTAACAGTTGCATTATGAGCAGTAAACAGACACTTTAATATCACTCTTTTTTCAAAAATTTTCCTTAAAGTGTGAAAATAATTCAAATCTGAATTAATATCAGCATTATGTTTCGCCTTCAAATGTGCCTCAAGACGACCTAGTTTCATCGATTCGTTGGTCAGGCATTATTAGCATAAAAGACAAAAGTTGACCGTTTAATGGACCGGGTATGAAACGAAATTTTAAATATGCCTCCGAATACCGTCAAACGTTTTTTTCTTGCTTGCACCCCTCATTTCACTAAGGGCTGAAAGAAACAAATATAAGATCAATATAAACAAAGCTGAAAGCAGCTGCTGTTGCTATTCAAGGGAAGAATAATATACCGGTTGCCATTCCTACAGTAAAAAAATAAAATAAATTCGTTGTCTGAAATGTGCGAGAAATGTCTGGAAAGCATAATGTATCAGTTATTTAAATGCCTTTAAAAGCATTTAAATGTCCATGTCTACAGTGAATTCTTTATAAAATATTTAAAATGCACCACAATTTAAAAACTTTTTTACGTATACATCACTTACATTTTCTTTATTTTGGGGAATAAAAAATTAAATTTCGAAAAATTTTGACTTCATGAAACATATTTAGAATGTCCTTTGTCTTCTTAAACTCTGGACGAGTCCATTTTCAAATTGCCCCCTTGTGGGCCGTGGGAAACACGGCCCTAGACCACGACTAAGCCACCATGCCCTTGTACAGTTCCAACCTGGCATGCAGGATCCATGGCTTCATGAGCCTGACGCCATATTCTCAGCCTTCCATCGGCATTACGTAGTTGGAATCAAAGACTCAACACTCCATGCTACTCGTTTCCAGTCCTCCAGTCTGTGTTTCTCTTGTCCAGGCAAGACATGCAGCCTGATGGCGAGCATTGAGCAATGGTACTCTCATAGGTCGATGGCTCCTGAAACCCATAAAGCGAAGTGACCATTGCACAGTCTGTTTACTGAGTGTACGACTAGCACCATCATTCCACTGGGTGGTAATTTGAGCTAATGTTTGGCTTCGCTGGCTACGTACAATACACCTGAGCCGTCTCTCACCATGCACTGTCAAGGCCAATTGCCCTTTGCAGTTTGCCCGATCGCTAGTTTTTTGTGCACCATCTATGTATTCTTCGTATACTCTTGACACTATCGACCTTGAAAATCCTAGAAGTCTGCTGATTTCGGAAATTGAATGGCTCATGCGTCACGCACCTACGATTTGTCCGCGATCGAAGGTGTCTAAATCAGGCAGTTTACCCATACTGGTGATTCCAACAACTAATTCAAAAGAACCACAGTATGTGCTATATATCAGTTACCACAGCGCATAAACGACATGCGCGTAAATAACTTGCACATAAATAATGCGTAGCACTACATAATTTGCATAACCCTGGCTATCCCTAATTCAGCGGTACTTCAGTGTATTTAGGTTTTGTTCGATTTTGGGTAAGATTAATCTCCAACTCCTTTGTGTTAGCCTGGAAATGTAGTCCAAATTTCAGTGCATATTCTACAGTTCCATGGAATTGCTATCATTTTATAACACTAAAAAAATAAATGCTTTACATTAAGGAATCTTTTTGGCATCTCAAACACTTTCACTAACTTTAAAAATGATGAATACTTAAATTTCTAACATAGCATAATTTAGTTTATAGCATCTTGCTATGGTCACATAGATATGGAACTGTTAATATAAGCTTAATAAGTAATAATTTCCAAATGTTAATCCCTAATAATTCTTTCGATACATTTTTATTTAAAACAAAAAATTATGACAAGAAATTCAAAATATATCAACAGAATATTTTAGTATCCAAATTATAACATGAGTTACCAACTAATATGCTTAGAATTAATTATTTTATTACAAGGAGTATTTTGATGATATCTATATCTTATAGCAAGCCAAGCTTAAAACAGAGAGATTATTATTAATGGCTTTCACTGAATCGCCAAGAATACTTTTGGGGTAAGCTACCATGTTAAGAAACTGATATATAAGCAGTGTATTGTACCTTTCATTTCTTACGGCTGTCGTGCTTGAGAACATGTTCTTGCAAAGAAAGTTAACAAAAGAAATTTGAGAAAAATTCAACGGAGAATTCTTCTTCGTTATTAGTGGTTATAGAACCTTAAGCTGTGAGGCTACTTCTGTTCTCGCAGAAGTTTCGCCTATTGATTTTGATATTGCATATAAGAATAACATTTGAGTCATTGGTAACTGATACCTTGGAAGACTGCATAAATAGAACTGTCTCCTTCACTGATTTTTCTCATTCCGCTACTTTAGAGCCCATAAAGTAGCGGAAAGTTTCTGCAATTATAAAGAGACAACTGAAATGAGTTTTCCTATGGTTTTCTTTACTGATTGCAGCAAGATGAATAACAAGGTTGGCCTTGCATTTGTTCTTTTTGAAGGCCATTGCAAGGTTTGTTATTTTAGACACCATACACAGAATGAATTCACAGTTCTTCAAGCAGAACTTCTGTGTATTTATTTTGTCGTCAAATGGATCAAAGGTAATAGAACAACATCCTCAAGGTACCTTATTTGTTCTGTATATACCTTATGTATATTACATGAATATCATTTAGATAAAGTATTCAGTATTATGAATGGTTACATGAAATCAAAGTATACTTTTTATTACCCACGGATAAACTGAGCTTAAAACTGTGAATTTTAAATACTTCTAAAATAAATTACTTACTTGATAAATGGGCTCATTAAAAGAGGTGAGTAATCTTTGTCTGAAAATATTTTTCTCATCATTGGCGATTGAACTAAAATATAAAATACTAATTAATGAATCTATAAGAAAAACTTTCAGCCACTGAGATTATTATAGTTCATACTTACTTTTGAGCTGTTTTCCTCCAGTAACGATCAACACCATTTTTTATACATAAAACTGAAAGCCATCGGATATTTACATCTAACGATTTGTCACATGCAATGATCTAAAAGAAAAATCAATTTTATTAATTTTAAAGAATTTACTAAAATAATGAAAAATAAATAAAACTACACACCATGAAAATCATAAAAACATCAAAATTATTAGACTAAAAAATTTCAGAGCAGATGTTGATATGAACATCACATTTTAATTTGTAAAATTTTTCCTTATCAACACCCACTTTCCTTTGATTGAAATCCTTTTATTTTTATATAGGTGATTGCAACTAGTGGGTGAAAATTCTACTAGCCAAAAAACTTTTTTTTCTTCTGCGAAACTTAATCAACTCTTTCGACTAAAAGCTTTCAAAAGAAGCTCTCATCAAATTGCTCTTCATATTCCCAGCAATTCATGTTCATTGAAAGATGCCAACTTTCAAATTTCACAGTTAATTCATATAGTTGTTCTAACATACCTGGACTTCTCAGGTCTGTGAAGTCTGATAGATCTGATACTCCTTGATATATGTACTAACAGCCTAGGCATTATTATTTGAATAATTTCTGCATTGGATTTCTCCCTATATAACAGTTTTACAGCCTGAACCTTTCTCAGAATAAATGCAGTTAATTCATTCCCATTTATCTTATATGTATCATACACTTCTGATTCTAATTTTGCCCTATCCTTGATCTCAAGAACTGCTCATAACAGTGCAGTTTTAAATACATCCAATTTCTAATTCCCATTTCCCAACCTACCTAGCAGATACTTTCCAATATCTTTGGGACCACTTCAATGCTTGAACTTCCTGTGGCATGGCATCAAACATTTAATAGCACCACTCTGAAATTCTCCAACTGGGGATAACAGAAAATGAGTTTCTAAACTTTCAATGAAAGTCAAGATTGAATTTCTAAAAACAAAGCTACTAATTAGTTTCATAAATACCTAGATGGTATATAAAATAAATGCAAACACTTTACATAGGCTTTGCCGAAGTTGTAAAAACCTGGAGACTTAAGAAAGCCAGGCTAAGTGTTGTGCCATTCCCAGGAACAGATCTTGACAGTTACAGAGTCCTAATTGTGTTATATGAAGTAAAGTCTAACTCAGATCCTATTAGACTGACAAGCAAGTTATCACTGTGTGTGTGAATACAAAAAAGCCCTCTGTGGGTACCACTTGTCTGTTAGACGAGTTTATTCTGAAAAGTAAATAGATGAATTTACTCAGGCCCAGTGCTAGACTTTTTGCCGCTCAGTGCAATCTCAGCGAGTCGCAAATTCTGCTGCCCAGTGCTCCTCCAAATTCCAAAAATTTTGCTGGCTTTTGTGGCCACATCCATTGCAACAGATATGGCAATGGCTGTAAATTTACTTTGAGTTTGTTATGAAAATTAAAAATGAAGAGTCTTCAAGAAGCAACCAATCTAGGAGTGCTAGGCCCCTTTCACTAGAACTCTGCTCTGAAAGGAATATACAGAGTGTTAACCATAGCATGAAGTAAAATGACCAATTTTTTTTAATGATTATTCTGGCTTGTGTCAAAAACCTAAGACTTCATTGAAATAAACTTTTAAATATTTTATGTTAGGGAATAGTTTATTACTCTGTGTGTCTTTGCAGACTATTGGCTTAGCTTTTAATTATGTATTGTTAGTATTATATTTGTTTATGTATTGTTAGTATATATATGTTGAGTATTTGTATTTTTTGTCTTAATGATTTCCATTCTTATGAACTTGTACAGAAGATACTGTTGTAAAAATTTAAATAAATAATCAAGGAATCGATTAATCAATTTTATATTAATTCTCCAGTTAATTTTGGTTTACGAACATTTCAAGTAACGAACACAAATAGGGAATGAATTATATTTGTGAACAGAAGTTTCACTTTACACGGGTTTGTAATATGGGGTGCTGATGCCCATAAATTATATTTAACTCAAAAATTAACTGCAGTCACATTTAACTTAATAGCTTGGTGCCTACAAAAATGCATTGAATTGTTGATAACATTTAAGAATAGTGCAATAATGCTTAGATTTAAACTATTCAGATTTTTAAATAAAATACAAAATGTTCAAAATGCATATCTTTTCAGATATAATAATTAGTAAATATCAATTTTTAAAAAATATAAGATGCATAATTCCTTTTATTTATTATAACCAGTTAATTACTTAAATCATAACCATTTCATCTTTGTTGGATTGATATAATTTCATTTGTATAAAGCAAAGGTTCTCAACCTTCTTGCTCCCTGCATCCCTTTCACCACTCCTCGAAGATTATCCCTCCCTCCTTTCCCAAACTTGAAAAATACGCTTATTTCTATTTAGATAATTTGGTTAGAGTAGAGAGAAGGGTACCCCTTGTATTATCGTGAAGTTGTGTTTCATTTATTGCCAAGTGGTGGTTTATTTATGGTAGCCCAAGTAGTTGAATGTTATGGAAACTTTATTATGACGTAATTGGTTGCATAATTGCAGTGAATTTGTAAGGGCTTGTCATGTGGGTTGGTTAGGAAGTACATTGCTTGTTTTCTGGTTTATATGGTAAAATGGCTGAACGTGGTAAGATTAATTTGAAGTTTCTGTATGATTTGGAAAGAAAGGGGAAAAGAGCATTACTTGACCTGGTGTGTAAATGAAGGTTTACTTAGTAGCCATTATTAGTGTCCTGTTTGTAGGAAGGAAATGCGTATGGCAACACCAGTATACGGATTCTAGTTGAGATAATTTTAGGAAGTTTTTGGACGTTCTTAAGGAATTTTATTTGACTGATTACGTGTTAATTCGTAAATAAGGTAGTGCAACGATGGGTAAAAGTATATTTAAGGGTACCCCTTGGTGATTTTTGGCGGTACATGGATACTGAGTCTATGCAATTCTTTGACTTGATATTTTGGCTTGTGTAGCTGTGTTTTTTGTGCCATCAAAAATCGCCGCTACACAAGACAAAGAATTGCACAAACTCCGTATCTATGTACCGTCTTTTTCCAAAAATAAGAGACTATCTTACTTTCTTTTTTGGTCCAAAATACGCGCTAGGGCTTATTTTCGGGGGAGGGCAAAAATAAAAGTATATTTATATATTTTTATTTAATATTTATTTTACACAGAATACAGAAATTTAAATTTATTCAATTACACTCACGTCATCTTCTGGAACATCGGCATAAATAAAATTCTGAATTATATTCTGATTTTCTTCCAAATCCATTTCCTGTTGAATTGTTGGTCCAAATCTCTCATGTCTTGCGATATAGCTATCATTAAATGAATACTTCTTGTCTAAGTAGCCTGTTCGTAGTGCATTGGAAACATCACTATCAGTTATTTTGTCCCATGAATCTTTTACCCAATTCACAACTGGTTTTATAAAATTACCTCAATGATTTCTCACCATTCTGTTTTCAATATATTCATTGATTTCCATCCGCAAATGATCCTTGAATGGCTTGTTTATTGCAATGTCAAGTGTCTGGAGGTAACCAGTCATTCCTGCCGGAATCATTATTTGATCAATCTTCCTCTCAGCAAGAAAGTTTTTCATGTCTTTAGCGCAGCGAGTACTGGCTGAATCCCAAACTAGTAAACTTCTATTCTGACCCCTCAACAGTGGTGACAGCATAAAATCAACCCACTTTCTTATAACTGCTTGGGTGCACCAGGCTTTTTCACTTTCAATGACATAAATTCCTGAAACACGTTGAATCTGGTCTTTTTTACCTTTAGTGATTAAAAATGGCGATACTTTCTTGCCATCTAGACGAATCGCCAAAATACAGGTAACACGTGCACTATCGTAACCGGTAGAAGGAACGTAAATTGACGAGGAAGCCTTGTGGTGAACTGTTGTTTGAGCTCCTTGGACTAGGAATACCGCCAAGGAGTCATATTTTGGTCTCATCCATAGCAATTATGTTGGAGAGTTGGTATTTCAAAAAATCGATGCCATTAACAAAAATCTTAAATGCAAGTGCATGCTTAACAACTTCATTGTCTTCCAGCTTAAACAATGTTGTTGATCTCCTTAGAGACAGTTCATATCGTTTAAGGAAGTTGTCCAACCAGTGTGACGATGCTTTAAATTCTTTTGTGGATATATCAAATTCAATTGCTGTTTCAAGGGCAAATTTTTGAATATCAGCCCTGCACACAACCAAAGCCATTGCTCTACTGCCTGCAATCCATTCCCAGATGCAATCTTCAAACTCAGAAAATAACGGCTGCCGACCTGATCCAACTCTGCGTTTTTTCTCATTTCCTTGGTCCACCAGTTGACACAGGCAATCGTAGTCTGCACGCCATTTACGAACCATACGGAGATCCAGCATCTTCTCTTTACAGAATGCTACAAGATTTACACCCCTGGAGTCTTCCACGGTTCCCTTTTTGTACTCGACGGAATAGCTCTTTCATTTTGTACTCATTTTAACTGGTGTTAAAAATTATTCACTTTATTTTTAAATAAAATTACATAAATGAGGAAATAATCAGACTTACAAGACTGAAATGAATGAACGTTGTATACCTGCACTGTCGCTCAATGCAGACTGCTGCCTTATGTTGTATTTTTAACCAGTTCGCCATTAGGAAAATCGCAAACATTTCGTGCCATTTTTCGCATCCAAAGGTAAACTTTTTGTGTCTAAAACTGGGCTCACAGTATTTCTTTTCCCCTTTCACCACATGTGAAAGCCTATTTAGAAGTTCTGTTCAAATCAGATTGAACAGCATACCTGTCACACTGAAAAATGGTGAATAACGACCCCCTAAGGAGCAACATAAAAGACAAAGACGAGATATTTTTCCCTTTGCACCCAGACCCACTTCCATTTCCTGTACCCAACCCCAAATCTATTGCAATTTATTACAATGTAAATGTAATTTTTTATTGTCAAGTAAAAGATATATTTAAAGTAAAAATAAGTGCATTAGCTAGTATTTGAAATGTCCTTGAATTTTTTTAAAATTATTTTCTTGATGACCTGTAACAAAAATAGTAATTGAAATCGTTAAGAATTGAAAAGATAGCATTCAAATCCCTTTGTTCGTTAATAGAAAGGGAGAAAGCTGTTGGGGATCTCGTATGATATGTTGAGGGGTTAGCTATTCGAAAAAAGTGTCCCAATCCTTTACTTTCCTGAAACAGTCCCGCTGTGATCCTAATGCAACATGCTGAGAAGATAAGTAACCCATCAATCACCCCTTTCGATTTTCGACTCATTCTGTGGGGGTTGGGAAAAGGTCGCTGCATCGTATGTGTCTCGGGGATTACAGTTCAGCCCAAATTTCACCCTGACGAGAGTCTGCCGACGCTAACGGATGACGATGCCTTTCCTGTGAACGTATCTCTCTCGGGGCAAATGGTGAACTGGTTAAGATAAATTCCAAGAATTAATTTGAAACGAACTGTAGAGGTAAACAATTAATTTCTCGGAATATTTTGTTTCAAACATTTCTCTAAAATACGAGTATTAGGAAAGCTAAACATATTATTACTTATAGTACTTAATAAATCAACAGCATTTTCTAACGAATTCTTTTTGTCACATTATTTTAACTAGGGATTATTTTCGGGGGATGTCTTATTTTACAAAAAGTTCCGAAAATCACGATAGGGCATATTTTCGGAGGATGTCTTATTTTACAAAAAGTTCCAAAAATCACGATAAGGCTTATTTTTGGAGGATGTCTTATTTTCAGAAAAAGACGGTACACATCGACCTACTTTCACTTAAAAAAAGATCCCAGAATTGCACAAAAATAACACTGTGCACTCCCTTGACTTTATCCATGTACACATCGACCTATTTTCACTTTAAAAAAATCACAGAATTGCACAAAAATGCATTGCGCACTCCCTTGAGTTTGTCCATGTACACATCAATATATTTTCATTTTAAAAGTCAAAAGAGCACCCAATTCTACAGTAAATATACTTTTACCGATAATATTTTAATATGTTTTTATAAATTAAACAATAAAAGAGTATAGAAAATGTTCATACATACCAAAACTTAAGTTTTTTATATTTATAAACTAAAACTAAATAATTAACACGTAAATAAAAAGCTAACCATGTTCCCACACACTTATACTATGAAATTTCCCCTGGTATAAAGCATATGCATGGCTGGAAAAGCATCAAGTTATTTTTTGTTTAAGAGCTCACCAATCTTAAATGCTACCATACATCCACATTATATTTTCGTTTAAAATAAAATACAAATAATATCGAAGATAATCTTCATTTTGTGATAGGGTTAGATGGTTTGGATTATTTCATTATGGCAAAGCGTTCAAAGTTTATCTGCCTAGGGGGAGGACTTTCTAAGGGATAGTACAGTATAAAGTCTGTAATCTGGACATCCATTATCCGGAATGATCTATAATCCGGACCTCAAAGCCACAAACTTACGAATGCATGTAAAGCCAGTAAAACGTTTACCTATGCGCACTTCTGATAGTGAAGAAAGTAACAGAGAAAACGAAAAAATTTCGATTGACTAGTCGGTATTCTTGACATAGTAATTACAGGACTTGAACAGCGGAACTTTGTAACTGAACAAGAAATTATGTCTGTTTATAGAATTAAAGAGAAAGTATTAGCACAAAAAACGAAGCAAATTAAACAACTTACATTGGAAGAAATGTTTAATAAAGTAAACAAATATTAGGGTTTTTTTTTTTTTTTTTTTTTTTTTTTTTTTTTTTTTTTTTTTTTTTTTTTTTTTGTAAATTTTGATACCCTTTAGATCATAATTGCTCTTTATTTCATACATTATGGTTTCATATTTTTAATTGTATAATTTCTGCATGCCATCTTACCAGATTTAAATTGATGATCTATAATCCGGAAAAAACCCTAACCCGGAATTGCAAAGTCCCGACGAGTCCGGATTACAAACATTTGTACTGTATATACATTACACATGAGGAAAACCACGAAAATGTCCATGCAGCCAGTCCGATCATTTGGATTCCAACCTTGATATGGTTAGATGAATTTAGAGTTTTATGGCCAAACTTCAGTCATAAAACTCTCAACACACAGTTCTAAGTTTTAACTATTTTATAAAATTACTATAATTCTACTCTGCAACTTTTCAAGAACATTGTTAAATAATTTCTATTTTATACAATTTAGTTTTGATAACAGCAAAGACTGCAATTTATAATACAAATTCTCATAGTAACACAACACCAAAAAAGAATAATTTTTCTCCATATCAATTATTTAGTAATCTTCCTAAACATACTGACTTTATAGCAACACATAAAAAATAAATTATTACAATTTTCTTTAACATTACCTAGAATGGGTACAGTAGACTTTAAGGTACCCCTTGTATTATGGCAAAGTTGTTTCATTTATGGTAGCCTGAGTAGTTGAATGTTACGGAAATCCTATTGTGACGTAATCGGGTGCATGATTCTGGGAAATTTTGAATCATGGAATGTTTGTAAGCATTTTTGTGGTGCGTGTTGGTTTGATTCTTTAGATGGTAGAATGGCCGAATGTAGTACGATTAATTTGTGATTTGAAGTTTCTGTACAATTTGGAGCGAAAGGGGAAAAGATCTTTAATTGACTGGTGTGTAAATTAAGGTTTACTTAGTAGCCATTATAAGTGTCCTGTATGTAGGAAGGATATACATCTAGTCGTAAAAACCATTTAGATGGATTTGAATGGGTTTGTACGAAGAAAGGTTCAGATGGTCACTATGTGAAGCATTCGATCAGAAAGAGTACCTGGTTTGAAAAAAGTCATTTGAGTATGATTGATATTTTGATTTTTACGTGGCTCTGGGTGTACGAAGCGAACTCGAAAATCATGGTAAGTGAATATTTGCTTTTGGTAGTGCTTAAATGCATAACATGTTTTTCCTTTTTTATGTTATTTTATTGTTTGGTTTAAAATGTATTTTATTGAGATTATGTCTTTTGTTTGCCTATATTGTAGGATTTGGTGCTCCTCTGACTTTTTAAGTGAAAATATATCGATGTATACATGGACAAAGTAAAGGGAGTGCTGCGCAAAACAAGTTTGTGCAATTCTGGGAATTTTTTTTTTAAAAGTAAAAATAGGTCGACGTGTACATGGATAAAGTTAAAAGAGTGTGCAATGCCATTTTTGTGCCATTCGAGGATTTTTTTTAAGTGAAAATAGGTCTACGTGTACATGGATAAAGTCAATATCATTTTTGTGCAATTCAGGGATTTTTTTTTTTTTTTTTTAAGTGAAAATGAGTCGATGTGTACATGGATACCGAGTTTGTGCAATTGTTCGTCTTGTTATTTTGGCTTAACAAAAATCGCCGCTTCGCGAGCCAAAATGAGTCAAAGAATTGCACAAAATCGGTATCCAAGTACCGCCCAAAATTGCCAAGTTTCGCCAAGGGGTATTCTAAACTATACTTTTACCCCTAGAACTCGCATTAGATGAAAACTGCAGTTTTATTTAATATAAGCAGTTGTGATTATCATGTTTAAATCTTTATCAACTCTCAATAACTTAAACATATATATATATATTGTTTCAATCATTTTAAAACCAGTACACAAAATATCTGATTACATAATAAATTATGGAACTTTGAATTTCACTAAAAAAAAAAAAAAAATACAATGACTATTAAAAAGTTTAAAAGAGGAAAACTCCTTGTCTCAGTTACTTGTATCAACTACTCCATAAAGAATATAATATTACTCCATTAACATCAATTTATACTGAGCATTTGTTTTGATGAATATGTGCCTATTTTTATTTTCTAAGATCTTCACCAGGAAAAGTGGTAGGAAAGGAAATATTTCGTAACTCTTAAAGAATATACTTACATTACACATTATAGCATGACAAATCATAATTTGTTTATAATTCACAACAGGTAATAAAACAAAATACAGGCAAGTATCAAACATCTAAAACAGAATGAAATCATTATTTCGCAGATTTCTTACCAGAAGAGTAGAATAAAAGCCTCTTTCCGTTTCCCACGATTTTAGCTGACGTTCAGCAATTTTTAGAAGCTCTGCATTTTGACTAGAAGCTTTAGTTAAAGCATCTAAAACGACCGGATAATGATTATTCATGTTAGAAAGGGAAAATGTAAACAAATATTTAGCAGCATAAGGTGCGTAATAAAATAATTTAAATACTATGGAATATGAGCACAGCTCTCCACTATAAAAATATAAATATATTTTTTACTAGTTCCTAATTTTACAAAATTCAAAATTATGTGAGTCATCGGTGAAAATAATATACAACTAAATGTTTGAGTACATCATGCTATCGTCACATGTAACACCGCTTTCATACACGAAAGTCGCTGTTAGCAGAAGATCTTCACGAGGGAAAGTGGTAAGAATAGGAAGATCTCTGGGCAGTGGGAATCAAATCTACCAATAACTTTCTCGCCAAGTTATTATTATTTGCCAAGCTTTCGTCGTAATTTCAGCATAAAAAGGATACGGTATAGGTTCAGATACTCCGTAAGTTCAGGTTATGTCTTCACTTTGCATCCTGTCCTCCGGACACACTCATGCATTTGCTATACCTGCAGTGTACTTATTAATTTATGACAGCCGGTAAACAGCTTGCTATCTGCAAGCTACACACAGCAATAGTGGAAAAGAGTCAGGTTATGTTGTCTTCGACATGTTGAGTGTATAGACTTTGTTATTTTTCATTGATTAATTTTAATGCTTTCTTTTTTACATTTATACATTGCTATTCATTCATTCATATGAATTTATTTAAATTCCTTTGCTCTCCATCATGCATGCTTTTGAATAAATATGAAAATTAATTCTCATACTTTTTTTTTTTTTTTTTTTCTTTTTTTTTACATGGCGGTAAATTTTAGGAAAACCAGATTGTCAGTAAATGCCTCATTTAGTTGGTTTAAAAACTCATTGCTGTTCGGTGTGTTTTGCAAGAATCTGAATTTCATTCATTCAGTCGGTTGTCCACTAAAAAACACAAAAAAGGAATAAGTAATTAAAATAAAACAAGGCAACTCACCTCAGTACGAAAACATGGCTATTCCAGATTTCATTTTGATAGTCTAAACTTAAAAATATAGTGTTGCTAAACCATAAAAAAACAGCTTTAAAAGAAATTACTTTTACACAACCCTTGAGTTGCTTGCAACATTTCCCACCTTTTGATTTTTGATGGATGGAACATAAATCAAAATGCAATATCCAAACAAGGAGACTAAATAAAAGTATCCTGTTAGGTTAAGGAAAAAAAAAAAGTCATGACATGAAGGTTTTACAGTTGCCCTACCACATTTAACTCTCATATCAGGAAACTTAATGTTTTTATTTGCATGAATATTAATTTTTTTTGTTTGTTTAGATAAAAACAAGCTTTCATCGTCTATATCTTCTAAAGGATACAACATTGCTTAGGATGGATCCATTCACCTGCAGCTGTTTTCACCTTCACAACTTTATCTTGATTCTGAAACAGTTCAGTAACTTGGACCAGATGGTCTGCCCAACCTAAGTAATCAGAATAAAGTTTACAGCAGGTAGGCAACCTAAGTTATCAAATAAAACAGGCAATCCACCTCAGTAAAAAAATCTTTTTTCACAACTTGATGATCGGAAGGTTAAAAATATAGGACGCTTGAAATGATAATAGATGAAGCAGTTAAAAGTTCAGACAGGGCAAGAGTGACCACATGTCCCGATTTTGGCAGGACAGTCGCGCTTTTTAGAGGACTGTCCCACTTTTTTTTTTAAATGTCCCACTTTTTAGAAAACATCTGCATTTCTTATTTTAAATGTACCGTAAAAATATATTGCCTATTATTTATTAATTATTATAGTAAATATAAAGAAATAAAAATACATAAATTTAAAAAACACATAAAATGTATGCAGAGTAAACTAAATTAGGCGATGTAACGAGTTAGATTTACTCGGTGGTGTTCTATCATTTTCGTTACGTCTTTTCAAGGAACATGTATTGTTAACGGAGGAACAGCTAGCATTAGCTGAAGGGTTATTTGCTTTCCACACCCCAAACCACAATCAAAGTTTCAGATCAATTGATTGTACATCGCAAATAATCAAAACATTGTACGATAAAAGATTTGCATGTGCAAGGACAAAAGTGGAAGCAATTATTTGTAATGTTTTTTCACTATATTCGTTTTCACAATTGCAGAAAGAATTAGATGTATATTTTTATCCATATATTATGATGGTTCCAAGTATAAGGATTTAAAATTATTTTCCATAATTGTTAGACATTTTGATCCAGAAACAGGAATTAAAATTAGAATACAGTCAAAAGTCATTAATTCGGACACCCATAATCCGGAATGATCTTTAATCCGGACCTCAAAGCTACAAACTTTGACGCATGCGCGTAAGACCTTTACGGCTGCGAATATGCGTGTGCGCAAAATACGCTTACGAATGCGCGTTTAATGTATAATGGACGGTATAAGCTAAGCTAAAATTATCTAATTCAGTTAATGTTGCAGATTGCGTTGTTCCTTAATCTTCAAATTGGATTTGGCTTATTATTTTTTGCAGACAGTTAGAGCAATTTTATAAAAGTAAGCTTGAACTTTCGATTATGTCAAATAGAATTTCTGAATATGTACTATTTACTAATATGTAAAGGATCTACAAAGCGAAAGTATGTTTTGAAGTCTATTAAACAAAAAGTGGAATTGCTGCAAAAAAGGATAAAGGCATATCCTTGGTTATTCTCTAACCATTCTAACGAAATCTGTTTATCAATTTCAAGTTGCTCTGCGGCAAGGGGGGGGGACGCCGCAGCACGCAATGAATTGGAAGTTGATCTGTCAGCACTATCCTTATCGGCTGATCTTTAGAATATGGTAACTGGTAGTTTGGCGACATTTTGGAGGCGATAAAGGTTACTACCTGGGACTTTGTTAATAATGTGAGCAGTACTCAGTTCCGATTACGCATTATTTTGTGTGAGGGAAATGAGAGAACATGGGATATGTCATGTGATATTAATGGACGAATTACGGTTCTTTAATCGGAAAAGGGGGGAAATCGGGAAAAAATCTGGAAATTTTGTATTTGGCTTTATTCTGTGTTGTGTGAAACAGTGTTCGTTAATTTTTGGATCCCATGGCCCTAACTAAAGTGAATTCGAAATGGGTATTTAGTGAGATTGAAAGGGGTAGTAATAAGTGTTTCTTTAAGGTTGTGCGAGATAGAAGTAAAGATGTTTTATTAAGTTATTTATTTTACCTGGTACCTTGCCATGAACTATAAGTATGATTTTAAAGATCCTGAAACAGAAATAAGAAAAGTTTATCGGACACGTAATCAAGATTCTGAAGAAGATTAGGTAAGTTAGTATTTTTAATTATTTGGGGATATTATTTTTATGCATTGTTCTAAATGTAAGGTGGAAGTAAAGTAATTTGGTATTATTGGGAAAATTGTTATTAGCAATGATTTAGTTTAAAGTAATTAGGATTGTAAGCTAATTTTTATTAATTTAATGTATGTGCTTATTTATATTTTAAGTAGTGTTTTTGAATTTAATTATATTTTGATTAAATGATAGTTATTTTGTGAATTTTATGTTTGTAGGAATTTGGTATACGTTTTAGTTGAAGTAAACGTGCATGGAAATAATTTAAATATTTGACACTAAGTATTTGTAATGTTTGCGGTATGAATTCGTTGGTGACGTTTATAATATAATAGATAAATTAGAGGTAAAAGTTTTTGGATATTTTATTTATTTTATACGTGGAAATGTTCATATTTGGAAAGGGTATATACTTTTTCGTTATTAGGTAATTTCATATATGTTCTTTTTAACAGATTTAAAGATTCAGAAAATTGTCATGCATTTTCGTGAAATTTTTCTAATTTATGAGGAAAAAGGAGTGTACATGGATATGGTGAAGAGTGTGCGCAATGCCATTTTTGTGTAATTCTGGGATGTTTTTTTTAAGTAACAATAAGTCGACGTGACATGGTTTATGTGTATGTGTTATTTTGAAAAATGCGTAAGGAGTATGGTATTGTGCACTTTTTCCCAATTTTGCAGTGAATATTTGTCATGATTAAGCAGTTTTGTTAGATAAAATTTCTAGCATAAGTGTAATTCGGCTAGTAGATTGTTGGAAGAAGTGTTCAGTAGATAAAAAGAAAAGAAACATGTCTTTACTTCGTGAAGACAAAATGGCGGTGGGAAAATAAAATAGAGGGTTACTGTAGGAGAGTTGGTCGCCAAAAAATCGCCAAGTTACCATAATGTAAAGATCAACCTCCTTGTATGCTGTATTTTTCTTTTTTTCTATTTTATATTCACAAATTATTCTATCAATTAGATTTGCCTCTTAAAGAAATCAGTTATGTTCTTAAACCTAAATGACAGCAATGTTCTACATGACAGTTCATCACTAGAAGTGACAACCACATATCTGCTACCAATTGTTGATTATTTTTAAGCAGCATCTACTTCAAGAAGAAACACTGAAAATGAATACATAAAAAAAACTTTATTAAGAACATTTTATAACAAGCACAACCACATTCTCTACTGATGCTACATACATTAACTCAATTTTTTGCAGTCAAAAAAAGCGTTAATGTTGTGAAATATTAAGACTTAAAATTATATTTTTATAAACAAGTTCTATCATCAAAAGATACAGCAATTTTTTTAATTTGCTTCAAGTAGGCATTTACTAAGATAGTGTTTTAAATTGGATTTAATTCTTTTGGGGATAATTTGCTTGAATATTATAGCCATAAAAAAAGCTGGCTTTAGTACAGCACAACCAGGAATTATTTTATTGAAAACTAGGTATCAAAGCTATTAGACATTAATATTACTGCTTTCCTACCTTATGTTTGTTCAGAATAATGTGCGTCTCTTTGGCTTTTTGAGTATGAATTCCATTAGGGGATGTGAATTGCTACTGTATTTAAGATTTGTCTTTTTCATTAATACGTGTTAACATACAGTCCTGTATCAGAAAGTGAAGTATTTGTCTATCTATTGAAATTGTGATAATGAAAAGTTATTTTTAAATTTTAGTTTTCCACTGTTGATGACTCATACAAGATTGACAAAATTTGTGTATCTGTTACTTAAATACAGTCAAAAGTCGTTAATCCGGACTCGTCGGGACTTCGGTGATTCCAGATTATAGATCATCAGTTTAAATCTCGTAAGATGGCATGCACAAATTCTAAAATTAAAAATATGAAACTGTAATTATGAAATAAAGAACAATTATGATCTAAAGGGTATCAAAATTTACAAAAAAAGAAGCTTAATATTTATTTGTTAGTTTATTAAACATTTTTTTCAATGTAAGTTGTTTCGTTTTATGTGATAATACTTTCTCTTTAATTCTATAAACAGACATAATTTCTTGTTCAGTTACAAGTTCCGTAATTGCTGTGCCGAG